ATATCTCCAGCTGGAATTGGAGCACTGAGCAAATCTATCTACATAAAGACTGCTGAGTCACGTGGGTATCCATGCACATGCACACGCTCGGACACAATTGTCTCAAAATCAAAAATAAGGGTGTTGTAAATGCTGTATATGTGTGTGTATATTGATCTGTGTGTGTGTTTGTTTGTGTGTGTGTGTGTGTGTGTGTGTGTGTGTGTGTGTGTGTGTGTCCTGCAGCCCCTGGCCTGGTCACCAACCTCACAGCGTATGCTCAGAACCACACCTCCGTCATGGTTACCTGGTACCTGCCCCACCGCATCAACGGCCTCATAAACAAGTTTGCAGTCAAGGCAAAGCACGCTCGCACTGGGCAGACAGTCCGCACACTGGAGGTCAACGCAGAGGACATCATGACTGTAGCGCTGCCTCACTGCAATGTACAGCACTGCATTATACTGTCACCTCCGTCTCTCTCCCTGCATTGTACTGTCACTGTGAAATGTTCTGTCTCTATTCTTCGTCTCTGTCAGGAATATAAATGCTACACATCTTACCCTCGTTGTGTGTGTCCCTGGTGGTTGTGTGTGTCTAGGATGCAGCTGATATCCTGTCTCGTGCAACTCCGAGTCCACTGGAGATAACGGCCTCCTCTCCACCTATCACCCTCTCCGCCGTGCCCCCTGCGGCCTCCTGGAGCGTGCCCATATCGGTGGGAGTTGATCAGCTGCGACCTTATACCGCCTATCTTTTCGAAGTGTCTGCCTTCACGTCTGATGGAGAGGGACAGATAGCCTCCACCATGGTCCGCATGCCAGAGTCAGGTGTGGGGGGAGAAAATGCTCACAAGGAAGCAGTTTTGTGCATTATAGGGCTTATTCTGTTTTTATGTGAGGGAAAAACCTTTTTTTCCATGTGATTGTTAATGGCAGCTCCGGAAGATGCACCACAAAACTTTAATGTCCTGAACATGACGTCAAGATCAATCTCTGTGTCCTGGAACGCTCCCAAAATTACCACAGGAAAGTTCAGCTACATGCTCTACCTTTACGGACCTACAGGTTGTCAATTATTCTCTCAGAAACACACTTTGCAGACATGAACACACAAACAGACTCTAAATCTTTTTTTCTATTTTCTCTTCATGTCAGGATTTATGTATGAGAACAGCACAGGGGACATGCGGTTTGCTTTTAGTGGTCTGATCCCATACACAAGGTACACGGTGGCCGTCCGAGCCAAAGCAGCTGGTGAAGTGGGTCCAGCGGCGCAAGAAGACGTAGTTACACCTGCTGAAGGTGAGAACACTCATAAGCTTAAACCCACTTTACAAACATCACTTGATTAGTTCTTCTTAATTTGACAAGATGAGAAGGAGTGCATGAAATTGCACACAGATACAGAGACGTCCAGGATAACTCAATCATGTCCAGTGCTGAGCACTGAGGTGTGTTTTCTGTAACTATGTCTGTCTGCCTCTGTGTGCATGTTTGTGTGAGTAGCACCTAGTGCAGTGCAGAACCTGGAGGCTGTCGCTGAGGATTCAGTTTCAATCCGTGTGAGTTGGAAAAGCCCTGCTCAACCTAACGGCCCCATCACTCAGTACAGACTGCAGGTCCTGGTGGACGACACTCTGCTGCAGGACATCACCCTCACTGCAGAGGCGGTACGTCACATGTTACAGCCATGACGGTCCTCATAAACCAGCTCACTATAAATAACTGCTCATTATTGATTCTATTGAATCAAAGTCAATTCTTACACTTATTGTACATATTAAAGACTTTTATCATAAAACCTGTACAAACATTACAGTGAGCCTA